AGACCTGGATTACAAATTAATCCTGCCAAAGTCGGTACCGGTGCACCCGGTATTCCATGTCTCCTTGCTTAGCAAGTACACGCGTAGCGATATCCCGGGCCGGGAGCCGGAGGAGCCGCCTGCGATCGAGGTTGAGGGCGACGAGGAGTACGAGGTGGAGCAGATCAAGGATTCGAGAATCTTCCGGCGTCAACTGCAGTACCTCGTCAAGTGGAAGGGGTATGACGACTCGCATACGTCATGGGAACCGGCGTGCAACGTTGCGAATGCGCCGGCCCTCATAGCCGACTTCCACCGGAAGAATCCGAACGCCCCTCGTCGCCTCAACGCTGTCACCTTTGGCGGTCTCAACTTTCAGCCGATGCCGTCGCCGCTGACTGAAGCACACTGCCGCTCCGGGTGGGAGATGGGCAAGGGCGCCTCACATGAGGTCATGCGCCGTTGAGGGGGGGGTAATGTCACGAGTTGGCACGGCGCCTAGCCGTTTTTTAATTTTTCCTTTTCGTGGGCTCGAACCCGCAACCGCTGTACTACATACCTGATATGGACGCGTTGTTATCTACTGTACGATTAGATTAGATGGGGCGGCAGTGCACGGCACAGCTCGGGCTCTGCTGACACAGCCGCTCTGACTCACCGGCCCCCGGGGCCGCGTCAGCATGCTGCACCCAGACCAGCTGTGCACGGACCAGTGCGCACAGCCTCCCCTAAACCTCCCCTGTATATAAGCCAGCCTCTGCTGCCCTAGGGACCTCAGTTTCGACCTCTTGTCCCTAGGTCAGTAAGCATCCTTTGTATTCCTTTTCTTACCTCACTAATATATTATCTTGTCCCTAGCCTTAGGTTTGAGCGTTGCTCACCATCGCTTCAGTGAGAATCAGTCGGACGTCCCCAGCTTTCAGGTTTTCTCCAGTCGCTTGACCTCAAGTCGCGACATTAGGTCGAAACTCCCCAAGCTGCCGGCGTCCTCTCGGGACTCCCTACATTCACTTTCCTTTCCCACAGGTCGGGTGGTGCGCACCCCTACGATACTCTACGGTACATACGATACGTAGATAGCCCTACTATACATCGCCGCCCCTCGAGGAACGAACTCTTCAGCACCTGCACTTCAGTGGGCGGTGTTTGTCCTCACGGACGCGTGGTCTAGGTTCCTGCTGCATACTAGCCAAAAGCAGTACTGGGCCCCACGTGAACTGCGAACCTCAGGGTCTTCTCGGGCGCCGTAGCGTAAGCTAGTGTAGTACGGCCATTT